TTAATCCTAGCCTAAGTCAGCCTGGACTCTTCATGCCAATGAAATGGAGGCTCTCACTGGGAACCCTGCCATGTCATGCCCAGTCATGTTCCCCACAACACCTTGGCAAGCCTATTTCCAAGAGAGGCCAGGAGCGGTCCAACATGTTACTCTCTCCCATCAGCACCACAGACTATGGAGGGGCTGCAGGTAGTGCTTGACCACATTCATAGCTGAGCTTTCCTCCTTGCCCTTGGTACAGACTCTTGGAGACTCAGCAACATGTACCCATGGGATTCACAAGTGATCCCTGACTCACTTGTTGCCCCATCACAGACCAAAGATGCTGTACTATGAGTCTGCAGATGGTACCACTTCCTTTTCTGAAGCCACATGGGCATCAGGAAGCTATGTAAGCCCTGTTGTGGGCTTGCACCTTAAGGCAACCGGGAAGTGTCTCCCTGCAGAGGGGCAGGGTGTGGATGTGTAGGTGAAGCCATCTAGCTGGTGTAGACTACATGGTGTCCCACACTGAACTCCATGCCCTGCCTCTCCTTATGCACAGTCAACCTGGCACTGTTCCACTTCTACCAGAGCCACTAGGACACAGTGGCAGGTCTATTCACTATGCTTCCTGTCCACCCTCTAACACTCCTGCAGTTCCCTGAAAATAAATCGACCATGCCTTCTTCTCCTAGATGGCAAAGGAGGAAATCCAAATTCCTCCACCAGGGAGAAGACTTCCTTTCTTCTACCTCAACAGTACCTTTTCAGCTCCATTTCTCATCTTCCAATGCCAGTGGGACACTGGAAGTCCAACAGGGACAGTTTCCTTTTCTGAGGATGTGCCACAGCCTGCCACACACGTCCCCTGGCCTGCAATGAGCTGCCTTCCTCAACAGATAACAATAGCTAACATCGACTGAATGCTTCCAAAGGAGTTTAAATGCATTAACCACATTGTCCTTTTGTTCTCACATAACTCTGTGGACTGTTCTCTGGAATATCTTGTAGACAGCTCCTCTACAGATGAGAAAACCAAGGTTTGTAGATTCACATCAATCAGCTCTCCCACAGCTGGTGGGTGCAGATCTAGGTTTAAGTGCAGGCAGCAGGGAAGGGCTGAAACAATGGCAGCTCTTTGGGTACTGTACCTGACCGCAGTACCACCGGGAATGGGGGACATCGGGGATGTCACCCCCAGGGCCTGCACACGCCAGGAGCTCTATCCTGGAACTGTCAAGAGAGGGCAGGGGTCAGTGGCAGGTGCACTCATGAGCAAGCCATGCATGGCCCTGTGACTCGAGCTGCAGGCACAGGCTCAGACTCTGCTGAGAAGAGACTACACCACACCTCATTTGCTGTGCAATGTTTGTGTAATGAGACACATTTGGTGCCAGCAAGGAGGAGCGGGTGACAATGAGGGCTTGATGGATCGGGGTGCTCCACCAGGCTCCAACCACATTAATCACAGACGCCCCAGCCACAGCACCATTTTTCTCAGAGGTTTTGTCCTGGTTCCCACTGGGTATAGATGGAGAAGGAGTGGGGATTTCTAGAGCCCAAGACCAGCCCAGAAGCCCTTGCCAGGTTCCTCCTTAGCCTGGGTGGGAGCCAACTGTCCTAAGAACAGTGTGGAGCTGCTGAAGCTCACCCTGCCAGGACACTGCTCTACAGCTCCATGCTGCTGCCTTTCAATGGATACTGAGCAGATGAGCACCTTCTTGCCTGGGGAGAACAGCTGTGCCTGAGATCCTGGCCTCCTCAGCCTCCACAGAGGCCAGCAGGTCCACCTTGCTGGACTGACCTACAGAAGCCATTGTGCCTCTCTGAGCATCCATGTCTCTATCTGCAAGCCCAAGCTTACACATATCTCCTGGGGCAGTCAGGAAGGTTAACTGACAGAGCACCGGGCCCCATGTGGACCTGAGCCAACTATCAACATGCTTTGTTGTAGTCTACTGGAAGAAGCTAGACTCTATGCCAGGGCTTCGCAATCCCAAGTGAGCAGAATATGGCTGCCAAGGAGGTTCTCATCCTAATTCCTGGAACCTTTGAGTGTTATTTTCATGGCAGAGGCACATTGCAGAAGTGGTTATATTCAGAATCTGAAGTCAGAGAGATGATCCTAGATAGCTGGTTGGGCTCTAAAGCAGTCTAGGGTCTCCTGATAAGAAAAGAGGCAGAGAGAGGGGGGAAAGTGCTTCAGAAGAGGAAGGCAGTGATCTGAGGACAAAAGCAGGGAGTGAAGGCAGTGTGATGTGAGGCTGGGCTTGTAAACCAAAGCACCAGGAGGCATCCAGAAGCTGGAGAAGTCAAAGAAACAGATTCTTCCCTGGAGCCTCCAGAAGGAACAGGCTCTACCAACACACTGATTTTGGCTTGTAAGACTTAGTCCTGATTTCTAGCCTCTGGAACTCTATTTAAATACCTTTGTATTGTTCTAAGCCATGAAGTTGATGGTAATTTGTTACAGCAGCTAGAGAAAACAAACATACTGCCTTTCAGGTAGCCAGTCTAGAAAAAGCTCCATGCCGGCCAGTGAGGGACAAGGCCATTTCTATAGGGTGCTCGCCTACTGCCTGTGCAGGGAATATTATGTGGCAGGCTTTTTGTACTCAGAATCTGCTCCACTGAACCAGCCACTTCTCAGGAGCAGGAAATCAGCAGCACCAACCCCTTCCAAGTAGGAACTGTGCTCCTTTGATGCACTGGGGATTCTTGGATGCCATCAACTGGGCAATTTTCAGGTAGCACAACTAGTTCCAAACATATGCACCTTTCTTCATTAGGCTGCCATGGATGTAGTATCAGCTATCTACAGCAGGAGGATCCCTGGAGGCAAGCAGAGGCAGAAGTGGCCCCATCACCCACAGGTGGACTTATAGCTGCTGCAACAGGTCGTATTAGTGCAAGAACCAGTTACATGCTTCAGAATGCAAGAGAAAGATCCCAACATGTCAAACAGGCTTAAAACACAACTTGAAGGAACTCTCAATGACCAAATCTGGGATGATTTGAATAGCAGGATAAATAAAGATAGCAACCCATAGAATAACATGAATTTCCACATATCAAATAAATACTGAAATAAATAAGCAAAATGCCCATGGGAGAAAGGACACTATTTCCCTTCAGTAGAATTCCAGTCAATGCACATGGAAAGAATGATGGAAATAGACAATTGCCATTTGGCAAACATTAATAATTATGGTTCCTGCAAGAATAATCAATGGCTGTTTAAATTAATAGGTGAAATTATGATGAAAAACAGGATGTTCATGTATTCTCAAAGGATTGCCCAGCCATGTACTTAATAATTACAAAAGGAACAACTTTAAGAGAGAATACCAGTAGATACCACCTTGAATAAGTGAGCAACATTTTCAGTGTCTTCTGATACAAGGTACTAGAGAGCAAACAGCATCACTTTTACAGTATTATTCCCTCCAATGTGTAATTGAAATGTAATTATGAAGCAACAGCAGGCAAATCTGAACCAAGAGGCATTTCATGTGGCAGCTATTCATGCAATAACTGACCAGTATTCTTCAAACTGTCAAGGTCATAAAAGCCAAAGAGATATTGAGGACCTGGCATGGATTAAAGATGGCTAAGGATGTGTAACAATCAAATGCAATGTGTAAGCCTGAGCCATGAAAAAAAGATAGTAGCAAGGAAACAACTGACCACACTTGGATGAAGTGTGTGGGCCAGTTCACAGCATTATATCAGTCTTTGGTTATGTCAGATGTTAATATTTGAAAAACTGAGTAAAGGTATATAGGAAATCTTTCACAATTTTTGCAATTGCTTTTGCATGTCTAAATGCATCTCTAAGTAAAATATATAAAAAGTAAAAAGTATTTTAAAGAAGAAATAGAAGTCCTAGGTTTGTTCCATCTTGGGGAGGTCATAGGTTTCCTGAAACAGGTGTCATCTGAGGGGTGGCTGGGACACTTCCGGGGCACAATACTTTGAATGCAGGGAGTGCTCAGCAAATGCCTACTGACTCCATTCCATCAGTGGGGATGGTCTCCACAGGGGAATGCATGGAGAGAGCTCTCCAGTTGCCAAGCAACTGTGTCAGCTGCTGGAGATGCAGAAATTCAAGGGGAGCTCAGAACCTGCAGGGAGACAGGCACTGAAAGAGCTCAACCTGGGGGAAAGGTGTGGCGGGAACCTCAGTGTGGGGGATCCAGTGTCCTCAGGAGGAGCTGCTCCTGGGCTGTGACTTAGAGATGGCCAAGTGGAGGGGACACTCTGGGAGGTTGGGGAGTCAGCAGGAGTGTGTTACAGACAGGAGACAAGGTGGTGTGTGTTGGAAGCACAGACAGCAACTTGGCATAAGCAGGTGAGTGGCTGGAGAGTGTAAGAGTAAAGGGGAGGGTCATGAGGGACCTGGGGGCCTGCTTTTCTTCATGGAAGCCTCCTCTCAGGTAGATGTGAGGGCCACTGAGAGGCTGGGATGGGGAGAAGGTTAAGGCCTGACTCTGGCAGGAGAATGATGGGGTGGTAAGGGGCTGAGCCTTGAGTCATAATGTCATCCAGGGGCTTGGAGACCCCAGGTGGGAGCAGAGAGGGACACTGCGGGTTGAAACACCTCTGTATCTTAAGGGGGAACAGCAAGAGACCCTAAGGACCACTTTAAGTTCAAGTTCTCACAGTAGGGTGATCATACCATGTATTTTCCAAACAGGGACCCTTGAGATAATAAAAGGGACTAGAGAGGATTTGTTTCATGGGCAGGTAAAGAGCCTCCAATCTCATATGGATCCCCCAGGAAGCCCACACCCCAGAAGCGATGAAGGAAGTGAACTGCGTGTCCTTCTTAGGAGGAACAGGGTGGCTGGTGTGCATATGTCACCCACTCTCACACTCCTGGGTGGCATGGGTCCGTGCCTGCCGCTTGGGACAAAGTACCAGAAACTCCAAAAAGACAGATGGAGGAGGGAGAGTGGCCGAGGATGCTAGTGGGCCTCCCTGGTGACAGGTGAGGGCAGGCACAGGGCAGGACTTACCCATGCACACTGTGGACGGAGTGAGGCTCATAATGGTACCTTCCCTCCTGGTGTCGCATGTCAATCGGCAACGGTGCGTGGAACGGCGGCAAGAGATGCTGTGGCACTGCAGAGGGCGAGAGAGAAGAAAAACTTCAAAAACTGTCCCCTCCCTCAGAAAGCAATTTTCAAAGGGCTTTAAGCTCGATGAATTTCTGAGCAAGAGTAGCCAGGACAAGGGGCTCTGGGGTGCCTGGGCTATCACACACCCATGAAGGGGGATGAATAAATAATCAAAGTCAGCCCGAGAATCCTACATCTTCCACATAAAAGATCCCCAACTGTGCTCTTGACAAAGACAAGCAGCTAAGCGCTCTTTGAACTCAGGGAGATTACAGGCAGGCCCATGAAACCAGGCTCAGCCTGAAAATGAGGGCTGACAGAGGTGACAGTCTCCAACTCCTCTGGCTTCTGCCCACCCTGGCCTTGGCTGCGTGGAGCTCCAGCAGTGACAGGTGACAGTGTCCGGAGTTGCGGTGTACGCAGGCCAGAGATGTTTACCCAGAACCATCTGCGAAGGCGGAGCCTGCCAGCCTCAGGAGGGCCAAATCCCACCAACCCACCCCTTCCGTCTTGTGGGCGGCATCGAGCGGACACCTATGTGGATCTGTTAATTCTCCAGCTCTTAATATTAATTATCGAGCCCTCGAGCCCTGGCAGAGCCTCCAGGATTGAAAGCCCCAACACGTGCGTGTCAGTTTCCAGAGCTGAGTCAGCCTCCTGTCTCCATTTGGCCTGCATTCAACAAATCATCATGATAATTGTAGGATGCTCTTTGCTTATTAAAAAAAAAAAAAGGCCTGGGTCCCTGGAGGCAAACATAATTATAGGCTTTAGGAGAACAGGGCTCTTTAAAAAGTAGTTAGACTGGGAAAAGGGCTAAGAAGTGGAGAGTTCTCAATCAACTCTCCCTCAGTCTGAAGGCCACAGGCCAGGGGAAGTAGTGTTGAGTCTGGATTTCTGAATAACTAAAGGATGCAATGTGTCTGTTTTGTACATTCATCCAGGTTAGCAGATGGGGAGGATTACTAGAAAATAAATGCATTAAGATAAGGCTACCTTGCCAGAGGTGGTGGTGCACACCTGTAATCCCAGCACTCTGAAGCAGGAGAATTCCCATGAGTTCTAGGCTAGCCTAGACTACGTAGTGATACCTTGTCTCAAAAGGCAAAACTAACTAAATAAATAAAGGGTACCGTTCTGTGCAGATTGCAATCCTGTATTGTAAATGCCACGAGCTTTCTTTTTTGTACTGTAGTAAAACATACCAAATATACATTTACCATTTAAATCTTATTTTATATATTTAATTTGCAGCACCAGGGCTAGACCCAGGGCTTTGCACATGCTAGGCAAGCGCTCTACCCCTGAGCTGCTCTACCCTCAGCTTTTTAAATTTTATTTTGAGACAGGGTATTGCTAAGTTGCCTGGGGTAGCCTCGAACTTGCAAACTTCCTGTATCAGCCTTCTGAGCAGCTGGGATTACATGTGTGCTTGACCACATCAGTCCATTTTAAGCATTTTTAAGTGCACAATTGAGCAGCATTAAGTATATTCACACTGTGCCACTATTACCACTAACCATTGCAGAACTTTTTCATCATTGCCAACTGAAGCTCCATCCCATTCCCGTGGCATCCACTATTCTACTCTCTGTCCTCCCAGATGTGGAATCACAGAGTACTTGTCCTATTGTATCTGGCTTATTCACTTAACATACATACTGTCCTTCAGGTTCATGCAAGCTGCTGCATGTGTCACAATTTTTTTTGTAAGACCAAATGCTATTCCATGGTGCGTTTAGAGCACATTTTGTTTACCCGCTCATCTGCCAACAGACACTCAGGTTGGACATGATGAATTCTTAATGGGAGGAAACTTTATTTCTGAAACCTTAACTTTTTACATATATCATTTTATCTTCATAATTCCACAATTTTCGCACTTTCTATAGGGTCTAAAAAGAGAGTAAATCTTCTTCCTCTGCTGAAATCAATTTGCCAAACCCAGCCTCAAAGAGGAACCAACTGGCAGTTACGATGGCAGCCACAGTCCCACCCTGGTCTGGCTGTCCCTTCTGGAGCTGCTGGACTGCTGGACAAGCACCTTCTCCCTGGGTCCCGGTCCTCTTAACGGGTGAGCCTGGGTGTGTGGCTGTGACAGGATGATCAGGTGCTCTTGAATGTGGTGGCCTCTGGGACTCAGCGGTGCTTGCCATCTGCAGGCTTTGGTCAAGTGTCTGCACCTCTGTGAGTCTCTGCAATGGTAACAGTGACTATGTCCCTGGTTGCTGTGAAGATACAAGAAATTCATGCAGAGGAGATGCATAGCCCAGAGCCTGTACAGATAAGGAGTGCTGAACAGGTGCCGCTACTGATACTGACCATTAGCACTAACATTTGGAGCCTCTGGAGTCCATATCAAGCTAGGAACACAGCACCGAGGCAAAAGGGACAAGGTGCTCACACTCACAACAAACTCTGGGGAGGCTGAGGACCCCAGGCTGGCCTGCCTGCAGATAGAGACCACCTGCACTTTCCTACGTCCCTAGGGAGCTGGCAGAAAAACAGTATTCACTTTTCCAAATGTAGAGGAAAGTGCCTTTTTATCCCAGCACTGGGTCTCATACATGCTAAGCAAGTGCTCTGCCACTGAGCAATACACCTGGCCCAGCAAAGTGCCTTTAAGAACAAAACACACACACACACACTCACACACACACACACACACGAACAAAACACAACAATGTGTCCAGGAAGGCTAGATTACATTATTGCTAACAAAACAATTTTTTTTAATGTGCAGTATTTCTGAGTGTTTCCCTGCACATCCAGAAGCCTACTGAAACAGCTTGGATAGGTATTTCTGTGCCTGGGTGACAGATGCACACATGGAGGCCAAGGGTGACTCAAGGTCATGACCAAAGTCACAAGGCTAAAAAATGACAGAGCCAGGAGGAGAGTCCAAGGAACACTCCTAGGCAGCCCCAGGGTGTCAGAGTGACCCCCAGGGTCCTCCCATCCCTACCTTGAGCTTACACTGTAGTTACCAACTACACACAATACCAGCCTGTAGTGAGTGCCTTACAACTCCAGGAGGCTGCAGAGTTCCTGGTCTTCCTATGCCCAACTGCCTGCTACCACCTACACCCCTCTCCTCCCTAGTCTTGTTCTAACAGAGGATGAAGAGGGTGCCCCACTGGATCAGACAGCCCAGATCACCAGAGGCCAGCTGGGAGCTGAGGTATTGCTCTGCTCAGGAGTAGGGATTCAGGCAATTCCAGATGGGTCTAAAGAGTCTAAGACCTGAGTGAGGGATTGCTGAGGCTGCCTTGCTGCCCCATGGGGCTGTGTTGTTTTGTGTGCTGTTTTGTATGCTGTGCATATATGAATGGTGTATGTGTGTTGTGGGATGGCATATATGCACACATGGCACATACATAAGTAAGCATGTATATATGTGGGTATAAATGTGTTGAGTGTGCCTGCATGTTGCATGTGTGTTATCGCATGGAGGGGTACATGTGCACAGGTTGGTGGATGGCAAGGCTTCCAAGAAGAGGTGTGAGAGACAGCCACCCGCAGGGTCCTGCTGCACCTGGCTGCCTCCCTCTGCTATAGCAGGACCCTGATGCTCAGGGTGGTGTGACTCTACTTCCAGGTGAACAAATGCCAAGCAACACGTGGCCAATTTCCTTGCCTCCCCCAAGATGTCCCACCCACATGGCCTCTCCAAGCCCAGCCAGCAACCTACACACCCCAGACCCTCAGCAAACAGCCCCACACAGATAGGCAGAGCCTCAGTCAGCAGATAGGGGAAGCAAAAAGGGTCAAACCCAGAGACCCTAGACCCAGGCCCCTCTGCACAATCTCAGAGGGAGACCCACCCTACTCACATCAGCAGTGAAGCCCACACCACAGTCACCACAGGAGTCATCATGTACTCATTCACTCATGAATGAATGAGAGCATTTACTCATTAATCTACCATATATCAAGAAATTGCCACGTGGCAGGCACTATTCTAGGCTCTGAGAACAGTGTCATGCCAAAGCCAGCCCACACCCCTGCCCCGTGAGAAGAGACAGGCATGGAATAAGCTAGCAAACACAGCGTCAGAGTGGACAGATCCTAAGCAGGCTGAGGAAGGAGAGGTGGGTGATAGTCAAGGTACAGGAGGCAGTCAGGCCTTTCTGAAGGAAAAAGGCTCTGGGAGAGGGTGCAGCAAGAGCAGAGCACTGGTGACTGGGAAAGAGCTGGGGGATTTCAGCACAAGGGCTAATGTGGTGGGAGCAGCGGGAGGGATGGAGGTGGAAGAAACAGGAGAGAAGTTCCTAGAAGACTACACTGTGGGGAGGACTTTGGCAGTCTTTTCTGAGTAACTTGGGAAGCCTCTGGGAGACCCTGGGCAGGGACTCACCTGGTCTGGGGAAACTTTTCAAAATGGCACACAAGGATGGGGGTGAACATCAGCCAGGAAGCCCAGAGTGGCCCTGCCACTAGATGGCCACTGGACTTTGTGGAAAGTATGTCTCTGATCTGGGTCCCACATTACCCCTCTGTACAACAGGGCACAGACCTGAGAGTCCCTTCTGCCAGCACTGTCTGCTGTCTGTAAATGGTCACCTGGCTCCAGCCAGTGACACTCCGAGGCTTCCTGTGGGATCCCCAAGCCAGGCACTAACAAAGGCTCTGGGAACAGGTAAAGCCTCATCTTTTGGCCTTATATATTTCACCAACTTAGTGGCTCCTCTAAATCTCACCAGTCCCAGGCCTAGTCACCTGACACACACACACACACACACAAACACACACACACACACGCACACACACACACACACACAGAGTCTCTGGACACTAACTTTTCACTCAAAATAAACTGAAAGACAGAGGCCTCAGGACATTTGAAACCTGCAGAGGTTGTCCCCTCGTGCTCCTGACAGAAGCCTCCAATGATACCTTCACAATTCCAGGAGAAATCACCACACCCAGAGGCCCCAGCAGCACCCACGGAACAAGAAGACAAACTTAAGAACAAGTGATATATTGAATCAGATCCTTCCACAC